GCGCCGCGATGACGATATACCACGCGGGCCCCGTGATTCTCTCCTCTCCCCGCGCGAATTTCCCGCGACGTTATCCTCGCACACCCTATAATTCTCCTCTCTCGACGTCATCCCCCTCATTATGTGACGTCATCCCTCTCCCCCTGTGACACCATCCCCTCACCCTGTGACGTCATCCCTTCCCTCCTTTGTGATGTCATCCCCCTCACCCTGTGACGTCACCCCTCCCTCCCCCTGTGACGTCACTATTTATGACATCATCCCTTCCCTCCCTCCCTCTGTGACGTAACTGTTTATGACGTCATCCCCTCCCTCCCCCTGCGACGTCATCCCCTCGCCCTGTGACGTCACCATTTATGACGTCATACCCTCCCCTCCCCTGTGACGTCACCCCCCTCGCCACGGGGTACCCCCCGCCCCTCACCCCCCTTGACATCACTTAGGTTAGAATCCCCCTATATACCCTACTTCCAATCAATTTGTTACCATGACAAAGATGTAATGTAAAATTACATATCCTATGATGGATTTAATCTTATTAGATAAGTTGTCACGTCCCGGATTTTATGGTCGTCCGTCGTCGTCGACCGCGGGACGCGGAGCGTCGGGGTGGCTTTTCCTGCGCGAATTTCGCTGGAGAGAGGTAGCTAGAGCGAGAAGGACAGTCGGGGGCCGAACGGTGAATCTTCCGTTCCCTTTTCGCCCTTTTGCGGACTGGTGGCTAAGAACGGCGGCGAGTTCGCATGTTTGAGCGAAATGTTGGCAGTGAGGAGAAAGAAAGAGGAGAAAGGAACAAAAAAAAGAAAAAGAGATCTCCGAGTTTAATTTTTATTTTGTCGTTTTTCGGCCGTTGTCACGGGTGGCGAAGTGGTGGAGGCGGGACCACCTTTATAGCTATCGCGACCTTTTCTATTTTCACGATCCGCGGGAGCCTGTGGATCGTCATACGCGCCGGAGGCGGATCGGGATGATTGCCCGGGGCCGGGTGATATTGCGGGCTCTCCTAGAGCCACAGTGGGTCCGCGAAGACTCTCGGGTCGAAGCTGCCCGCACGGTGGAACTCCCTGACGAGGATCCTCAGTGCTGCCTCACGGCCGGCACGCCTGCAACGACCCATGCCACTCCTGCGAACATTTCCACGCATTTTATTCGGGTTCGTCTAAGGGGGTGCCCCAGAGGAGACGCTACGCCCTGACTACGCACGGCGGTGACTTGTGAGGGGCGGGGGAGTAGATCACGCCGGGTCTTTCCTTTGTGACCGCGGCCCAGGATGGTGAGGACCGAGCAATGTCGGAAGGCGGGCGCAGCTCGAGGTTGAGCTCACGACGGCCAAAGCTAGGAAGGCACGGAGCCACTGGCAAGGGCTCATATGCCGGATCGGCCGTGGGAAATGAGGGAGGCCGAGGAGGACGCGGAGTTCTGAGAAGGGCTCACGCGCCGCTAGGGTATTAGGATACGTCGCCCGAGGTAGTGCGATGGAATAAAACGCCAGGGACACCGCGGGTCCCCTACGCTACTCCTCTCGTGGCACTCCCTTCCAACACACAAGCAAGACGACACATGCACGGCACAACAGTTCACCTCGCGTGGGAGGCTCTTAGCGCTGAGGCGCGTTGAGACGACTTCCGTTTGAACGTTGATGCACTCGCGAACGAGGGACGAGGCCCGAAGGAAAAGAAAATAAGGAAAACAAAGAGAAACTGAAGGAAAAGAAGGAAAAAAAACGTTTAAGTTTACAGTAATTTATTAGCGATTTGAAATGAAGCGACTAGTAATACAATTCTAAGAATAAATCTATACGAGTTCTCGGAAATACGCCGAGTTTACGCGGGTGCCAACTAGCGCGAACACGTCTACACGGAGACGTCGCGAGAACAACAAAAGAGAATAACAATGATTGGCGGGGTCTCGTGAGTTTGGCACGCTGATATGACGAGACGCGAGGCAGATCGCGTTCACGAGACGAGAGACCCCTCGCGAGACATAGAGCGGTCTCGTGAACCGTAAAGCGGCTTCTCGGAATCGTTTTCGCGCATGAGACTGATTATAGACGCTTAATGCCGATTTTTCACAATCACTCCACGACCTGGTACGTTTGAGCGGTTTCTACCCACACGCGAAATGAACAAAACAAAAAAAAACACAACGCAATTTCTGGCTTACTCTGGCAGATGCACCAATCTCGACCGTGATCCTCCTCCATCTGCACAATTCCCGTGGGCACAGAGCGTCGGCGGCGCGGTGGTCGGATTACTTTGTTCCTCCGAGTATTAATAAAAAAAAATCGCTTTATCAGAAATGCTGATATAACTGGGACCGTTTAGATAGGTAGATCGTTCCCGAGTCTCTAACACATTTGAACGAAAATTTTTCGATTGCCGATTTCTAGTTTTACGAGTTTTGTGTGTGTCACACTGCCCCCGGAGCTCACAACGGTCCCGTTTATATACCCACTAGCCGTCGACGTTCCGTGGTAGAAAATTTAACTATCGTTCAGAATGTTCTAGAACATTCTGTACAGTAATCGACTTTGTTAAAATGTTGATTTTAGCTATTTTTCTCGAGGCAAGGGGGACGCGCAAGGCCCTCTTCGGTTTCCGTGCGTTATCTCCCTCGCTCGAGAGTGCATCGGCGCACACGCTTCGCGACGTGTGGTACAATTTTATCCTTTTACAATTTGAATTTTTCGGTTTGCAACCGTCCGACGGAACCTCCGTGTATTTGTTTAAGCCTTTTTTGGCCTCTTAGCAGGGCAATTCCCGTCAGGCGGCTGCGCCCCGGTAAATGTTTAACCCTTGCGACGGCGTTCCCGTGCAATGTGTGCGGTTTTTGACTGTTGCATTTGAACAATGCAATTATTCTCCTTACTACCCCATTTTTCCTTCGTTAGACCTGTTTCCTTTCAGTTGTCTTGGCTAACTTCGGGCCCTAAAAAGGTCCGATTACGTATTTCCTGGTTATTCGTTCGGGTTTTGCTGCATTTTTCACCCTTATGCATTTTCCGCCGTCGCGCAGGCGCATTGGCCTTAATGACCACGCATGAGGCGCGTGATCGCCAGACCCGCTCATCGCGACGATCAACGCGTTCGCGTTGCTATGGCGACGAGTCGCGCGTCGCGTCAAGTAGCGTTCGCTGTCGAATGTACGGCGGACGACGTTACAAAGTTCAATATTCAAATCAAAAGAAGTAATCACAAAGAAAAAAAAACTTTTTTTATACACATAAAAAACTCACCTGCAGGTAAGAATGCAAGAAAAAATTCCTTGTATATAACAATGATTAATCTTATTAACAAAAGTAAATGTGGAAGTAAATCACGAAGATGTTATCATTATGAAAGTCAGAATCGTTAAGAAATAGCATACATGATGTACATGTCACCGTATTGTGTCAACAAATAGGAAGGAGAAAACTAAAGCCTAACTTACATGTAATAAACTCGATATACTATTGAAAACAACACCAAAATGAAAAATGTAATACATTGGTAACTCAAAAATTGTTAATAACATCCAAATACGCATTATTTAAGTAATCAGTATCAGACTGCAAATTCGAGCTATTTTTTTGTAACTTAATGTAAATCATTTCAGAAGTCAGACGTTTGCTCAAAAATCTCTCTGTATCCAAAATTCTAACATTTGACCAATCAAATTCATGATTATACTCTAACCTATGTCCTGTAATAACCGATTGTGTGGTCGTGTTTCTATTGATATGGTTTTTATGTTCTAAAATCCTAGTTTGTAATTTTCTACCTGTTTGACCGACATAGGTAGCATCACAATCATTACACGCAATCTGATACACAACGTCTCTTTTTGAGTTAATCGAAATTATATCTTTGTGAACCTTAATATATCACCTTGATCAAAAAGTTCCCGGAATTTATTCAGAAAATTCAAAATACAAGTTTATTCATCAAAAGTGATATTGTCCCCTTCAAAGTACTCCACATCGACTGCAACGCACTTATGCCAGCGCTTGATCCAGCTCTCGAAACATTTCTGGAACTCTATTGTCGGTATAGCCATCAGAGCCGTCTTCGATTTTTCCATTACCTCCTTTCGGCTGTTAAAACGCGTTCCCCGTAGTGGTTTTTTGACTCGATCGAACAGAAAAAAATCGCAGGGAGCCATATCGGGTGAATTCGATAGCTGTTGGATGGTATTCGTTTCGTTCTTGGTCAAAAATTCACAGATAATGATGGCACTGTACGACGGTGCGTTATCATGATGCAAAATCCTTTCTTTTTTGGCGAATTGCTTCACGTAAACGTCTCATAACAATATTTAAGTCCTCTGTCAGCTCTCTGATAGTTAATTTGCGATTATCGATCAACATTTCTCTCACTTTATTAATGTTTTCGTCGGTTTTCGATGTCGACCGCCTGCCACTGCGTTCGTCATCCTCGACGGATTCACGATCACTTTTGAAGCATTCATGTCACTCGTAAACGGTTGTTTTCTTTAGAGCATCACTGCCGAAACAGTTTCCCAACATTTCCAAGGTTTTCGCACCATTGAATCCATTATTAACGCAAAATTTAATACAAACTCGTTGTTGCAAATTCAACTCCATTTTTAAAACTGTAAAAAATCGAAAACACGTGCAGAGGTAGATGTATTTAAGACGGCGTAACTTTTACAAATGTCAAGCTATGGCGATAAAACTTGGTGGAAATGTCAATAATAGATATGGCAACCTAACCAAAAAAACAGAACTCAAATCAGCTGACTCAGAGCATCACCTGGTGGTAATTCCGGTAACTTTTTGATCAAGGTGGTATCTATTCAATTTATTAAGACTATAAAAAGATAATCTAATGTTCAGATCATTAACAATATTCATAAATTTGTCAGAAATTAACGGAATGTAAGTCAAAGTAATCCACGGTTTAATTTCGTTTGTGGAAACAGAACAATGTGAATTCTAATGACACAATTTCCATTGTGTCATTAGAATTCACATTGTTCTGTTTCCTCGTTTGATTATAAAAGAGTGATTTTAGAAGTAAATTAATTGTCTTGAAAATAAAATTTAACGGATAATCATTATTTAGTAACATATCAATCACAAAAATAATATTCTTCTGATGGAATCTCTGATGCGATAAGAAAAAAACCCGGTCTATTATTTCAAAAACCACTTCTCTCTTTTGTGACAACGGATGTGAAGACAAAAAATTCAAGTATCTCCCCGAAAACGTTGATTTATGAAACCAATCAAATTCAAGATTCTTATTATTAATAATGATGTTAACATCTAAAAAATTTAAAGATTTATCTCCAATCTCAATAGAAAATTGCAATCTACTATGGAATGAATTAAAAACATCCAAAATCTCATCCACCACATCCGATGGCACAGCCGTAGCAATGTCATCAACGTATCTGACATAGAATGGTAATGAAAATCTCTTAGAATCTCCAATGCTCTATTCTCCAAATCTTGCAACACTAAATCTGCTAAAACCGGAGATAGAGGAGAACCCATAGGTAAACAAAAAGTTTGTTTATAGAAAACACCATAAAAAACGAAAAAGGTTTAATCAAAAATTAATTGCAAAGATATAATGAATTCATTTTTAGGGATGTTACAGCCCCTCGAAATATCACTCCATCTATCATTAATGCTCTCCAATACTAAATCAACTGGAACATTGGTAAATAACGAAATAACGTCCAGTGAAATGAGATTGTAATTATTATAAATATGAATATTAGATAATTGATTAACCAAATCAAAACTATCCTTAACATAACTCTCTGCTATCCGTGAGTTATTATAAATGATAGTATGGAGAAAGGCATAGAATATAAAGGGCTGCCCATACATGAAATTACGATCCTCAAAGGATTGCCCGGTTTATGTACTTTAACTAAGCGCCATACGCTCTAACCAAATTTCCATCAGAACATTTTTGTACTTTCATTTTTGTACTTTCTCATTATTTATTCACGTTGTATTTTTTCACTTGCTTAATATATTAATTGCTTAATAGATACTGTTCAAAATGTTGGCGTCTTGCAGCAATGCAAGCATTGGATCTAGTACGAACAGCTCCTGTTGCAGCTAAACACTGTTCTAGCGTTATTTGGTGCACTGCAGCCTCGATTCGATTTCTCAATTGTTCTCTTGAGTTGATTGACGACGAATAAACTTCCTGTTTCAGGACCGCCCTCCTCCACACAAAAAAGTCCAGTGGTGTCAGATCAGGTAATCGGAGTGGACAAGGTACTACTTCTCCATGTTCAATCCATCGTTGTGGAAAATGTCTGTCTAGCCAAGCTCAAGTAGTTCTGCCATAATGAGCTGGACATCCATCGAGTTGAAACCACATTTCAATTTGTTGCTGCAGGTGGATGTCTTCTAAATAATCAAAGAAGTCAGTCTTCCAAAAATCTGTATATCTGGCTGCATTTAATCTGTTGGGTAAATAAAATGGTCTCACTAGACAAAAACAAACAAAAAAAGTTTTCACCCGAAAACGGAATTATTATTATTGTTTTCGTGCATGATTTTAGCAACCATCATACTTTAGAAACAGTACAAGAACGAACCCTAATAACACAGGGACGCCCTATGGACATCCTGTGGACGTCCCGTTTAGCCGGCAAAACGTCTTAAAATAATCCTGAATATATCCTAAATTAATCCCCGATAATACCACTATGGTGATCCAGCGGATGTATGTAGGACATAATGAAGCGCTCATGTCATAGTCCATAGGACGTCCTTGGACTACAACAGGACATCCTGTGGACGTCCCGTTTAGCCGGCAAAACGTCCACAGGATGTCCATAGGGCGTCCCTGTGTTATTAGGGTTCGTTCTTGTACTATTTCTAAAGTATGATGGTTGCTAAAATCATGCACGAAAACAATAATAATAATTCCGTTTTCGGGTGAAAACTTTTTTTGTTTGTTTTTGTCTAGTGAGACCATTTTATTTACCCAACAGATTAAATGCAGCCAGATATACAGATTTTTGGAAGACTGACTTCTTTGATTATTTAGAAGACATCCACCTGCAGCAACAAATTGAAATGTGGTTTCAACTCGATGGATGTCCAGCTCATTATGGCAGAACTACTTGAGCTTGGCTAGACAGA